TATAAAATTTATGTCTGGGTGTATATATATTTTCTGTATTTGCTTTCCTGATAAAACATGACATATACACACACATTATATAATATATAATATATATTCCCCCCCCTTGGAGTCTACTTTGTACCTACAAATACCTTTAGGTGCTGGCAGAAGTGAATTCACAGCAAAGCTAAAAATGCTTGGTTTTTAGAGCCCCTTACTTGCAGAGATCTTTTTTCAAGGTTCTTGTAGGGGCCTTGAAGTAAACTCTCAGTCACATGCAAAATTTGCAAAAGCAAAATGATTTAACTGCAAGGTTATAATTGCTGTCTTTTTTGCATCCTAGCATCTTTCTATCCTGATGTGTAGTGTTTAAATGGATCTTGGTTATTTCTGGAACTGAGCTAAGAGAAGTTGAGTTAGGGATGCACTGAGGATAGGTTTATTGGGGCTTATTTATGTGATTTACAGTTACTTCTGTTTATAGTTAGGTTATTGTATCCTGGTATAGGAATTGCTTCCAAAACACTCCTACTGCTCACTACACAAAGTTATCCCATTTAATAGTGAAATATAGGGTCAGAGGTTTTGCCTATGTACTAGGGCCACCAGGACTAGGAAGTGTGTGTGGTGGAGAAGAAGCAGGTTGGAAATGCATAAAGCCAGAAACTATTCTCTGCAATAATCTTTCAAACATTATGGCTCAAATGCTAAGGAACTTCAGAGATTTTTCTTTTTAAATTTTTTTTGTAGTTGCATATGGATAGCATGCCTTTATTTTATTTATTGATTTTTATGCGGTGCCAAGGATCAAACACAGTGTCTCACACATACTAGGCCAGAGCTCTGCCACTGAGCTATAGCCTAGCACCAAATTTTTCTTTTTGTATTTCACCATAATTTAAAATTTAAAAGACATTAGCAATAATGCATTTTGATGTTGAAAGGCTTTCTAAACTCTCAGTAATTTAAATTCAATCCTCCATGCTAGTAAAAAGAATAATTTTGTATTCTCTTTATAGAAAATTATAGGACAAAATGGTTATGAGAGTCAATCAGAAACAATGTTACTAAAAATTGTGGGAGGAAAAGGGATAGGAGTGGGTCAGGCAGTAAAATAATAAAATATTATTTTTCTAGATTTTGTAATGATTATACTTACAATGCTTATATTTAAACTTTACAATGAAGTTTTTCTAGCATTCTGAGTAAATATTAATTTTCATTTCTATTCTGTTTGATAACTTTCTATTCTTTTTCTTAAAGAGGCACTTAATTTTAGACCCCCAACATCTCCATTATTCCAGCGAGTCTTCGGTATAACAATGAACAAAGTCAAGTTCCATTCCTTTTGGTAACCAAACTTTAGTAAGACAAAAGAAAACAAAGAAGCCAACAGTATCAGATGGGAATAATCCAGAAAATAATTTTATAGCAAACAACAGACTATAAAGTAAAATGGCACTAATAGAGTTTGGGAGGGCAGAGGGAGGTGCTGTTTTGGGGAAAATGAATTCAAGAAGAATAAATGCGTAGGCTCTAAGGTTAATACCTATTTGGTCTCCTCATAAATAAGCATGATATTCCCTATATACTAGTGAACATACAAAGACAAAGGCAATGAGCTTAGGGAAACAGCCTAGGCCCAAACATGCAGGACTTGGGGGTCAGAGTTTATCAGTAAGTGGGCTTTTTATTTACTTCTTTGGTTGACATGGAAAGAATTGCAATATTCACATTATGGAATATAAGAAAACAATTTGTTAAGCAAATTTTCAAACAGATTCAGTAAGTGTCTAACCTTAATATCATGTCAATACTGAATTCCAGACATCTTCAATTGCTACCCAATGGCAACATTTGCAAAATAAAAGCTCTTCATTCTGATGTTTAAGGTTTCCTACCAACTGCCCGACCATCTTCCACCCCAACTCCCGGTATAGCATGCTTACTCTAACCAACCAATGACTTCTGTTTATAGACCATGTCTTGGCACCATTACAGAAAACTTGCTCCAATCTGGAATGTTTGTCCAATTTTATTTGTCTTTCAGGACTTTCAAAATATCTTGGAGTGTCTTCCCAAAAATAGAATGGCAGTTGGCAATAGGAGTCTCACATTCAGAGGCCCTGGGATGTTGGGAAAATCTTGTGGGGACCTGGACAGTTAATTCTACTCTCTCAGTTTCCATTCCTCATCTGTAAGAAGAAAACAGGCACAGTATCTTTATGAAGTCTGTAAGGAAGACATGTAGCGCTGTGTGTGGTCACTCAGCACTACCTATAGTGAGTTCATTTCTGTCTCTCTTTGCTACTAAATGCATATTGAATTATATCACATAAGCCTCCTCATTATGGGCATTATTTTGAAAATCTGAGGAACATGAGCTTTTGTAAATTCCACTTTCACAAGTCTTATCATATTTACCTATTTTTAAAAAGTTTATGCTCTTTATTTTAAAAAGAGATGCTCGCTAAAGGCAACTTAGAGTAAATTATGGTGGGATTATGATAATTTCATAAAACTAATGACAAAGTTCCACTAACATCTTCTCTATAAATTGGCATTTAGTTAGAGTTCACCTGACCATAATCTGGTGCTTGCTGATAGAACTGATGAGATTATTTATGATTTTTTTGTTCATGAGTTTGTCTCAATTGATGTTAGACATAAGGTTTCAACTTTATATGCCCAACTGCAGATGCAAAGGTAAGGGTCAGGAAAAGCATGTGAAATAGTCTCCTGTTCACCAGATGTGAGGGGTACAAATGATGGAGGTACACTCTCCCATTCCTGTCTCTCCTCAACTAAGCCTCACTACTGAGATAAACCTTAGTTTCCTAAATTGGCTTACAAGTAAAATATTCTCCTTCAACCATTTATTAATGCATACCTACTATGCTATATTTGTTCACTTTTTAATACTTCACATCTTACTTGAAGCAACTTTTTATACATGTTAATCCTTCTCCTTTTGAAAATCCATGACATTTTAATAATATTCTCAAAAAGTAAGGACCTTCTACATATTTGTGATTTACCATGATCACATACCAAAATATCATTACAATTTTGACTATATTCTGAGACCTCCAGAGGTCTACTGATTCATGTGCTGTTGATCCAAATTGCAATATCCCAAGGTTTAAAATGCATTAAACAGTACACTTGGGGAGAAATAGTACCTCTTTTGGGCCACAAGGGTGATGCAGAACTCACATCAAAACTGACAGGAACCAGAACAATATGAGGGTTATGGCTTTAAATTTTGTTTCCTCCAGTGGATTTATTTGCAGGACCTGTGATGCTTTACTTAGTAGCTAATCATCACAGTGCTATCTCTTGGGGGCAATCACAAAGGATTTTATTACTAGTGGAGGAGGATTATTCTGGTTCTTGTTAGAACCTGGCACATTAAAACATAAAAAACTGGAGTGATAATGATTTTTAAATTTGTAGCCACAATTTGTCATAAACTGATATTATACAGATGTTGAGGTGAAAAAAAAAACTTTCTAAAGTAACCAAAGGTAGAAAACGCAATCTTTAATAAAAAATTGCTTCGTTTATTTATTTCCCCACATTTAGAAAATCTACAGTGGGACTGAACATTAGTTTGAAATTTCAATTGTTCATCTCAATAAGGTTACATAATTGGATGCCACTAAAAACTATTCTTTAAATGGGATCTTTTGGGCATGAATTTAGTATTAGCAGACTAATCTACCATTAGAAAAGCATGGCAGTTGGGGCCCTGAGATTAATCTTTAGAACGGAAAAATAATTATTAATAATAAAAATATGATATTTGATAAACTACACATATTCAAAGTCTAAAAGGCACATGTCAGGGTTTTCTGAGTTGAAGGGACCATGTAGTTCTGACTATGGAAATACACTGGACACAAAGGGCCCATAACAATTGAGATAAGCTGGTTAATCAAGAAACCCAAATTTGCCCCTTGCACCAATAAACAGGTTAATTTGATTTTGTACTTGGCAATAAACATTTGAAATCAGTGAGTTCTGCCCTGGTGTAGGATACCCTCATTATTCACAAGCTGATTTTGAGTTTTGGCTCTGGACTTTCACATGTACTGCCTCATTTTCACCACCCTTTAGAACTATAGTGCTGCTTTTCAGTGACAGAAATGAGAGGGAGAAAATTCCCTTAGGGCACATGCTGCAGAACCTATGTAGAAGGACAGCCTGAGAAACTCATCATTTTGATAATATCCTTCACGTGAATTATGTATTTATATAGTTATTAATTTTATATTTAGAATCTTATAGATCCAGACTTTAGAACATGAAATTGCCCCTACCCTCTGAGAATCTTCTTTATTTCTCCTTTAATTAAAAGTCAGTTCATTATCTTTGTTCAAGTGAGTATTGTGAACCAGTTATTAGGAATCTAATCAACTGTGGTTCTTTGTGATACTTTATTCATTCGAATTGTGGAGAAGAATGATGACTACCTATTTCAACATCAGAAAAATGATGGGGGTGTAATAAGCTGGATGTCCACAGCTCTCCCTGCTCTTTCACACCACTCTTTGAAACACAGATGCTTCTCATGACAGAGGCAAGGGAATCACAATTGATTTTACTCATCCTAGGGCACCATCTGAACTTCTGTCCTGGGAAGTATAAGGCAGATTAGTTCCAACGATTTTTTTTTCAAGCCACACATACATTTATACCCACCAAAATTTGGGGCATGCAGCAATAAAACTGAACCAAGATTGTTGCTAGCCCCCAAACAGTCAATACAGCCTTTGGAATCTTTTTTCATAGGATAAGCTATAAGGAAAAAGACACATATGAAAAAATTAAAAATTAAGAGAAATATTTTGAAATTTTATACTATATTTCAAGATGGGTCATTTATTTCTCCTATGTAATCTAATCTCATTTTTTGCCCCTTAATATTCATTGAAATCAATTATTCTCTTGATATTCCAAACTTCAAGGAAATATTGGCCCCAAATGTCTCTTGCCACAATAAAACAAGTTGTAGCTGAACTCATTGTTAAAGGTGGGTTCAGCTGTAATGCAAATGCTGGTGACCCTAATAGTTCCAGCCCTGGGCCACTCTGCCAATCTTAGCCACTGCCTTGGAGAAACAGTGAAGACTTGGAAAAACACATTCCTTCCACTGCCCCAAATTATCTAGCATGAAAAATTTATTAACTAAAAAAGAGTTTAGGCCATCTTGCTTAATGTAATCTTTACAACAATTCTCTGAGAGAACCAGAGAAATACAAGGAGGTAGAGGAAAGTCAGGGAGGAGGACCTCTGATTTGTAGCATATGCTAATTTCTGGGATATAAACAGTCTCATTCTGGGCAATTTCAAACTACCAACTTACAGTTACTAACACATAGTTAATTATGAGTGTCCCACTTTAACAGCACATTTCCACCACACAAAAATAATAACTTCAATAATAAATACCCTCAAGAATATAGGTAACAATAAAATGAAGTGAAATAGTTAGAAAGTGTTTAACTTTCAAGAATGCATCACCTTTGCTTATAATATAACTTGTGTAAATGTTTATATAGTTTTAACATTAATAATAATTATTCTTAACAACCAACCAGCTTGCAAAATATTTTTAATTTAATTATCAGCTCTCAGGAGCTTGTATAAGCCAACTTCAGCACACTAGAGGATTTAACAAATGGATCTCTGAATTCTCACATAAGAATTTTACTATAAATTCTAGAGTCAAACAAGATGAATATTAATAGCATACCATGGAAAAAGCATATGCTACCTGAAAACAAGAACTCCCGTTTTAGCAAGGTATTGCAGCTGATGATAGTCTCAACAATATTTGTAAAGGGAATAATAGCAATAACAGTCAATTTTTTAAACTTGCTCTCTTATCATAGATGGTTCATTCAACTTTAATTTAGGGATTCTATTTTCACTAAAATGCACCTGGAACTACATACAAATGAATCTACCACATTTGCCTCATAACTTCCATCTAATAGAATTACTCTATTAGTGTGAAATTGCTTCATATGTTCTTTTACCCCCAGTTTGGGGTAATCAGAAACTTTAAAAATATTTCTCATGATAAAAATTCAGAATACCAAATGTGACAGTACAACTGGTCAAATCCTGATAATAGTAAAAGCCCTGGCCACTAAAATCAAATTTTAACCAATGTTGCGTGTAATGTATGAGGCTCTGGGTTCAATCTCTAGCATGGATAAATAGATAGATAGATAGATAGATAGATAGATAGATAGATAGATAGATTAATCTATTTATTTATTTATTTATTTTAAAAACATAGTACGGGGCTGGGGATGTGGCTCAGTGGTAGAGCACTCTCCTAGCACATCTGAAACCCTGGGTTTGATCCTCACTACCATATAAATAATATAAATAGAATATAAATAAAATAAAGGCATTTTGTCCAACTACAACTAAAAAATAAAAACAAACAACAACAACATAAAGAAAACATAGTATTATCTCTCTCCAAGAATTAATCACATTATAGATACCATTGCGTTCTCATAATTTAGATACTTGAAGGGTTATTGCATATGAAATTTCAAAATTAATTTTTATTCAAAATGACTTGATTTCAAAATGTATTATTGAAGAAAGTGGTGCCTGGTGTAGGATGGATAATTTGATCAAGACTAAAGTTTGTTTTAACTGTATTTTGTATTAATTTGTAATTAATTTACAACCTAAATAAATGTAACAAATGGAACATACTACAGTTAGAACTTGCCATCTCTTACTCCATAATCCCACATAACCTACCCATATTATTACTCCTGCCTATGTGGTGGCTGTTCATTTTAAGGTTAACAATGGTTTCACCATAAACCCACATCACCATCAACCCACACTCACTATTCTACACATATTAGGTATTGACAATGCTGAGGAAATAACTAGTTTCCTATAACATAGAAAATTACAAAACTAAATTTATTGGTAAGATTAAGAGACAGGCAATTTGTAAATATGTAAGTTAAATAAGTAATTAAATTTAAAAAAATATAATCACCATGGAGGATAATTCCATTTTCTAATAATGCTTTTCCCAAGGGAACACCTTCTTCCGGTCTATGAATTTCTCCAATTTCAAACAACCAGGACACAAATTCATTGCAACAGAAAGCCAATAATAAAAGTAGAACCGTTCATTTCCCTCCCCTGGAAATCTATCTGTACCATGCAGTCATGAAACAACTATGAAAGGAGTCTCAAAGTATAAAGGGATATTGGCAATGCCATTCAGCAGATATTTTTTCACATGTAAGACCTGCAAGTCATAGAATGTGGACTTTATTCTAGAAAACCTATGTCCACACATTGAGACTCTCCTAAACTATATTTAATAAACTATTCAAATTCTTGAGATCTCTCATAAACCTAAAGTGAAAATCTTAGCATAGCCTTAATTACAAGAGTACTGTCCACAAAAAGGTAAATGGTCATGCGCTATCCTTAAAAGAACATTAATTACACAAACATTTTACAAATAAAAATATTCTCATAGGCTTTTTTTTTAAAAAACTAACATTAAAACTTTGACATACTAGTGAATTTGTTTTAGACTTTTAAATTTTTTTTGTTACACAGAGACCAGAGAATCAAACCTACAGACAGCATCAGGAAACGAGTTTTCATTTATTTCTAAACCAAAGGCAACACAAAATGCTTCAAACACTCTAGATATGAAATTCTAAAAATGAATTGTCTAGTCTAAGAATCATATTTTAAGGCAGAAAAAGTTGTTAAAGTGCTTCCAATTCACTTATTAAATAAGAACCATCCGAAAGAAAGACCACACATTTTTAAAAAAGGAAGGAATAGAAGAAATAAAAGAAAAAAAAATAAAGATATGAGAGGGTAAAATAAAATATAATGGTTGAGATCATGTATTTTGCAATAGGACAAGTTGATTTTAAATCCTGTTTCTTCTACCAGCTATGTGATCTTGGGCTAGTCAATTAGCTCTCAGCCTCAAGAATATCAATGTGATGGTGCTGTCAAGTTATAAAATGAGACGGTGCATATCAACACAGTGCCTGGACACAGTACATGCTTATCAGTGACTGACAAGTAAGCTGAGATGGTTGATATGCAGCTAACTTGTAATTCTCTATCCAGATGTCACCAGATCCTGAAAATGTCAAATTCAAAGTTGAGAAAGAGCCCATTTAAATACTGTTATAAACTGGGAATACTGTTTTTAGAAATGGGATAGGAGGTCAGAAAGACAGTTAAGGGATGGCTTTATCATGGGACCTACTCAGAACCAAGAAGATTCCAACAACACTCTAAGGAATCATGGTTCACTCAGGAGAGATCTGCAACTTGGCTGCATTGGATTTCTTTCAGAGAGAAAAGACATAGTTAACTTTTCCTAAGCCTGTCCTGTGCATCAGATGGTGAGAAATGTTTCACATATCATCACAATTGTTACCAGCAATACGTCTATATGAGATAGTATGGGTTAAGGGTCAGCAAAATGCTTTCTCCTGCAATAAAACCAAATTTTATCTGGGATAACTTTCTAGCTTTGTCCCCCTAGACACCTGCTCACCTGGTGAAGTTACAGTGTCAGCACTGGTATGGTAAAAATGACTCCTAATGGTTCAATCGCATGCCTCTAAAGAAAAGACATAATATGGAGTGAGTGTCTTTCAAGAGGGTATATCCATTTGGGGACACTGGAAGTTATACCCATGGAGTTTTTACAAGAGACACTGTCCTTTTGATGCATTGGGCTTCTATGTCAAGCTGATTCACATCTGTTCTGCTCTTTGCATTAGAGTTATCACCTGGAGGGATGACAACAGAGTATGGAAGCCAGATGCTATGCCATAGGGGTCAGCTGTATGGTAGTTCTGAGGGCCATTCCCCCGGAAGAAGAAAGTCCAGGATTCTCTGTAGGAAGGGAGTTTCCTGGCCTACATATTCCTGAGTTGGGGGTGAGGAACAGTTATGGCCTATGTTGTTCTGTAAGTCCCCAAATTTAGTTTAAAAGACATGCTGATGGGCACTGCAGGTAAGCACTACAATCATCTCTGTGTTTCCAGAAGAAACAGAAACTTAACTTTCCCAAATACCATGACTAGCTAGTGACCGCACCAAGATTTGAACTGAAAAAGCAAGAGAGCAGTCCATGCTTTGAAGTATTGTTTCAGTCTACTTTAATGGACTCAACATTGAGAAACTATATAAACTTTTTAAGATTCCTGATCCATAATTTCTGCATTTTTAAAAAAGAATAAAGGCATTTAACTCCCAGGTATGTATTAGTCTATTGGAAATTATGTACAGAGAAAGAGGCAAGCACAGAGTCTAGCCTAAGGAGAGCTACTGATGCAGATACCCTTCTGACTGCTTTTGCACTGATTAAACCAGAGAATTCCACTTATCACTCTCTGCAGAAAACAAATGAGACATCATCCATGGTGCCTGGCCCCTCACAGGACTCACTAGTTTAGACTATTTGTCTATTCCCCTTACCCCTGAACTCAGCTGTCTAAATTCCAGATTGATTGGGAGTTTGGACTGTTTGCCTTTAGCTCTCCAGTATTCCCTAATCTGAATCCACCGTTAACTCTGACTTTCAGGCCCTATGTGCATTTCCATGTCAGACCCATAATTCTGTCCCCTACAAATACATCAGCTTTCAGACCACTCCTGCCTTGCCCCAACCTCCACTTCACACTCACAACTTAGTAGATCAAATACTATTGAAGTCATAGATGAAGGGAAGGATGCTTTAAGTTATCTATAGGATCCTGGCTCTCTTTTCCATTCCCTCATCTGGCCATGGCCCAGAAAATGTGGATCATAAAGAAGTATTCAAAAATACTTAAGTAATATTTTTAAAATAGAAAAAATAAGTATGTGAGCCACTGGTGTGTGTGCATCTTCTGGCTGTACTATAGGAATATTTTAATTCACTGGGAACATGCATTCTTGATAATATTTTAGTAGTAAAAATCTGTTAGTGAAACAAGCTTGGTGTATTCTGTTGCTGTTTCATTTTAAATTGAGCATTAAGGGAATTAATTGTTTTAGTTGTAACTCTGCCAATATGTCTATATAGAGGCCTGTTGCCATTTCTGTCTTCAGTGAATTTTTTGTCCCCAAGAAAGGATAACAGATTGAGTTGGTGCAGTGTATTCTTGGTTATCAAAAAATACTCATGTAGCTTTGGAATTTTGAATTGGTGAATATTCATGATGTGTGGAATAGCATAACACACACCACAATCTTTATCAAAATGGGATATTGTGTATATATGCACACAACTTAGAGGGACACGTCCAACTAAGCTTCTTGTGATGGGATGGCTTTGTTCTTTGCTTGTGTTTTTTTTTCCTGTAATGTACGATTTACTTTTAAAAAATAAAAAAAAATATTTTAAAAAACTATAAAAAAATAATTAAAGTTAACATGTGAGAGGGTAAACATAAAGAAGTATATGCACCCAGATTACCAACCCTACCTTCCAAGGAAGAATTTAGGGAACATATTCAATTTCCTTTATCTGTCTTTCATCAGATTTCCTTGTTTGCACATCATTTTATAAAGTTTCTCACCCTGTTCAGAGATCATTACTCAGGTGACTTGCTCCATTCCTAGTTTTAGACCTATCAAAAATGAGACAAAGGACATGTAATTGAAAAAAAATCTCTTCATTCATTAGATTATGCTTTCATTAAAGAAGCATTTATTATGTGTCTACTATGGGCCAGAGTGTATAGATACAGATCTCTTATGATTAGGCATGGTTTTCAAGAAGTTCATGATATGCTAGATAGATAATCAGGACAAGATTCCCAGAGCACAGAGCGCCTTTGTACAATCATACCCTAAATGAACACAATTTAGCCAGTGGAGTGAGAGCAACAGATAAGAGGAGCATTACCAGCATGGTGGTCCTAGGCATCCCTGTGAAGGGAAAGTTTGATAAAATAAAGAAATATTCAGGGTACCACATCTCTACCTGGAAAATGTTGAGAAATCTTTCACAGTAGGGCCATATTTAAGAGCACCACTACAAATAGGTATTTTTACACAAAGGATTTGCAAGAGCTAACTAAAGTCAAGCAACACAGAGGCCTTAGAGTCCTAGGTTTTACGCAAGAAGGCAGGAGATGTGCTGGTGGGTTAGGGAGGGTGCTTATGGTTTCAAGTTAGAAGAGGGGGAAACATCTGGAAAGAAAAGGCATTATAGCATAGGAAATAAAGTTCTGTTGTTTTGAAAACAAAGTTAAGAGGACAATGTGGAGAAAAAACTGAAGGGGGTTAGGATTTAGAAAGTGGAAGAATGTTATATGACTTAAATCTGGAATGTCTCCCGCAAAGCACCATGTGTTCAAAGCATGTTCCCCAATGCAGCAAGATGCAGAGATGGGAATTTTAAGAAAAGGCTGGATCATGACAGCTGTAACCTCATCAGTGGTTTAACTCAGTTGATGGATTCATAATATGAATGAACTACTGGGTGGTAACTATATACAGGGGCCATTGCTGGAGGAAGTAGGTCATTGAGGTTGTTGCCCTCAAAGCCTATAACTTATCTTTGATTCTTCAGTTCTGTCTCTGTCTGATTCTCATTCATTCATATTCATTCTCATTCTC